ATGGATGGATGGATGGATGGATGGATGGATGGATGGATGGATGGATGCACAGTGGCTGAGTTGTTCTCAGGGCATCTAACAGAGGAGAGGCTTTGCAGGAACAGTCCTGCCGGAGCCTGCCTTGTGGGTGGCCGTGCTCAGGCAGGCACAGGTACTGACCCTGGAGGGGTCAGGGCTCAGTGTGACACCTGCTGTGCCTGCCTGCGTGGTGCCAGTCTGCACTCGTGTCATCGCACTCCTCTCCTCCCTCCCCTGGTCTCTTCTGGCTGCACAGACTGTTCTTGGATCTGTGTGCCGCTGCCGCCTGTGCTTATTTTGGTGCCCTGTGGGTGGGCATCTGCCTCACTTTGCCATCGTGCCAGTGAGGTGGGGGGACGGCAGCACCTTCCCGCTGAGCAGCTCTGCGCCTGCTGCAGCTCCACCTGCAGGCGTGGGCACTGGGGCTGTGTGCCTGCACAGAGGGGCTGTTGCTGCTCCTCTGGGTCGAATAAATTCCTGCTAGATGTGTTCTTAAAATCCTTCCTGGTGAGCTGCTGCGTCTGCTGCCCCTCGTGGTGCTTGAAGCAGGCCATTAGCCTGTGGTGCTTGGGCTGGGCTGGTTCCCAGAAGAGGTGGCTTTGAATGTTAAGACACCTCTCGGAGAGGGATTAAATGATGTTTTGCTGGAGCTGTCGGGAGGGACTTCTGTGCCATTCATCTTCTCGGCACACAGCTTTCCTCCCCGCTTCCATGCCCGTGGTTCCTTGGTGCTGAGTTATATAAGAGATGCTGTTTGGTGAATGAGTTGCCTCTGGGAATATAAATCTTCAATCTGAAGTCATGTCTTTCAGCCTGTCAGCTCAGCCCCTCTCTGCAGGCTTCAGAAGACCCAACAGATATCTCAAACCTCGCAGTGGGTCCATTATTGCTCTGCAGCGAGGCAGAATTTCCTCTGGTGCAGCTCCCAGGTCTTTGCACAGCTTTGTGCTGCAAGAGGTGCGAGTTATCTGGGGAGAGGTCTCATGTTCCTAACAGAACATCTGATGGCAGAGAGCTATTCCAGGTAGTCGAGGAGGCAAATCGTAGCTGCTGGGCTGTGTGTGACATGTGCAAAGCTGTCTGCTGCTAAGAAGGCGATTTTGGGTCATCTCAATGCTCAGCGCTGGCCGTGCGCCTCTGAGGGGTCCGTGTGCTTTCACTGGCGGTAACCTTGCTGCTCGCCAGGTCCTTTGGCAGTGTGTTACAGCTGGCAGCCTGCTCTCCAAGCAATGGGGCAGAGCACAGGCCCAGCCCAGCGTTGTGCCACGCCGTGAGCGCCCGCCATGTGCTGAGGATGGGCAGGGCTGTGCCCAGGGCTGCTCCTGGCTCGCTGCATCACGCCTCTGTCTCACACCGAGATGCTTTCCATCACCTTTTGTGCATTCCTGTGTTTCTCCAACTCCAGCTTGAAGTAGTTTTGTTTCTTGTCCCAGTAATTCCTGTTGAAGGGCCACTCCAGGACTTAATCTCCAGTGGTCAGGATGCATCTTCTCATTTCCAGCCCGAGTCTATTTATGATCAATTTAAATACCGACGTCATTGCAAGAACAAATATATTTAGCTTAAATAGCTCTTTGCCCTTCTGGCTTCATCCTGTCGGTTCCATGCAGCAGTCTGTTCATTCTGGGAGGACTTTACACAATCTCTGCCCTTTCCCATCCCCTGCCTCCTGCCCCCCCCAATGGCTGGGGGCTGCTCTTGCCCCGTGGAGCTGTTTGCCGTAGCAGAGCTGTATCCCTCTTTTACCTGGATGTCCGTGCGCTCAGCCCTCAGCTCCTGCAGCTTTTGTGGTGTGCCAGTTTCCCCTTTCCCCATGCAGCTGTGCTTTGCTTCTGTCCCAGTGGTGTGCCATGTGCTGGACCAGCTCAGATTCTCCTTCAGCATGCAGCCCCTTGCATGCCCAGGTTTGTGGTCTCCGTTTTCTGCTCCATCATCCTGAGTGCTGCTGGGTGATCTGCCACACTGAGTGAACGCAGAGTAAATAGCAATTAACTGCAGTCTGATTCATTGGCAACATAAAAAAAAGAAACAAAAACAACAACAACAAAAAACAAACAACCAACAAACCAAAACCAATTGTCTGCTCTGTGATTATTTTGGGCTTAATTTAGACCAAACAGTGGTCCTTTTGGAAGATGTGTGTGTGGCCTTTGCAGAGCTGCCCCTGGGTGGGTCTGCATCCCACAGCGTGCCGTGCCGTGGGTTAGGATGGGATGGGATGGCAGCAGGTGATCCCTCCAGCAGACAGCATCCAGACGCAGCAGCACACGCTCCACAGCTGTACCTCGGCTTTCTCTCACTAAATCTCCTTTGTCTTGGTGTTGACAGACAGGGATAATCCGTTATTTGCCAAAATGAGTTTAGTGAGGCTGAGATGAGCAAGCTGTAAATCCTGTTACCGGGGATTACGTGGGCACTGCTGCACATTGCAGGGCTGGGGGCCCTGAGCTTTCCAGGCACGCCGAGAGCAGGAATGCAGGCTGTGGCCACGGCTGGGACAGCAGGATGGGGCTGGGGACCCTGCGGTCACCCACAGCCTGCAGGGGGTTACTAGAACTGGCTTTGCAGAGCTGTAACTGTGTGCATCCTGGACTGTGGGACGATGGATTGGAAACAGCTGGTGGGGATTTACTGATGAAAACCCATCTGGGATGGGGTGGCTGGAGAAATAGCTGCTGTGTTTCAGATGAGAAGGAGTTGTGGATTGAAGTGGAAATTTCAGGCAAGTGGTGTAGGAGGGAGCGGGGGGATGGAGAAGGACATCGGAGTGCTGAAGGGGTTGGGAAGCGTGGAGAAACCCTAGGAATTCTCACATCGCCATTTAGAGCAATTTTCTTCTGATGCACCGGCAGCAAGAAAGGTTCCATCCCTTGCAGTAACTGGGAGAAGCGCTCCGTTTCTGTGCATGGCGTGGGGGAAAGCCGGGTGACGCGTCGGTGGGAGCCCAACCTGAGCCGTTCGGTGATCCGGCAGCTCCCAGGCAGTGCAAGGAGGCTCC